CAAGGATTATCAAGAAAAGAAGACAAAAAACTCTGGTTTAGTTGCCTCAAGACAATTTGGCAACTAACACATTCTCAGAAGAAAAGTTAACAATGCTTATCAAAAGAGTGCTGCAGGAGAACTCTGGCTCGTCTAGTACCTCAACTCCTCTTGAATCCATTAATACTGCATTGGAATATGCAAGTATGATATCTACAATTTCAGTACAACCTAAGTCAACTGAACATATGTGGATATTAGATTCGGCAGCTTCATGCCATTTATGTGCTGATGCAAATATGCTCATTAATCCTCATTCAATCACTTCGACACACTCTATTCTCTTGCTTAATGGAACTTGCAAATATGCTACACTAAAAGGGAATGTATGATTAACCTCACAAGCGTTGCTCAAGGATGTGCTATTTGTTCTTGATTTTAAAATGAATCTTATTTCGGTGAAAAGGCTAACCACCGATCTAACTTGTACAATTCAATTCACTAAGTCAGAATTTTTGGTGCAGGACGTGAATAATCATACAACCTTGTTAGCTGGAAGTCAGACTATGAGTATGCATCCAACTCTACTACTGTCAATGATAAAAATTTTCTAGAATCTCCTGCTTGCACTCTCACAACTGATGTTAGTACTAATAACGACTTGTGGCACAATAGACTTGGTCATCCTTCGCTTGGAGCAATGAAACATATATTTATTTGTTCTTCTTTTGATAAATTCAGCAAAGATTGTGATATATGTTTGCGTTCTAAGTTTCATAGACTAAGTTTTGAGAAAAGTGCCTCATGCTCAACCAAATTTTTTGAATTACTACAGATTGATGTTTGGGGACCATATAGAACTCCAAGTATGTCAGGAGCTCGGTATTTCTTAACTTTAGTAAATGATTACTCAAGATGCACTTGGATATATCTCATGCAGTGTAAAAGCCAAACTGCGAGTATACTCAAATATTTTACAGCTCTTATACAAAATCAGTAGAATCAACATCAAGAAGATACGTTCAGATAATGTATCTGAATTTGTGAATGATGCGTGCAAATATTTGTTTCAAGAACTTGGAATCATACACCAACTCACTTGCATATATTCTCCTCAAAAAAATGGCCGGGTGGAATGAAAGCACCAACACTTACTCAACATTTCACGAGCTCTTCTGATTCAGTCCAGTTTTCCACAAAAGTTTTGGGAAGAAACAGTTCTTGTTGTTGTACATTTGATCAATATTACTCCTACATTTATTTTGCATTGGAGATCACCGTATGAGGTACTCACTAACTTACAACCTGATTACTCTCGTCTAAAGATTTTTGGTTATTAGTGTTACGCAGCCAACACATCACCATCCAAGGACAAATTGGTTGATAGAGCATACAAATGCATTTTTCTTGGGTATAGTTCATATAAAAAATGATATAAAGTCATGGATATTGCTACTCAACATATTTTTGTCTCAAGAGATGTGGTGTTTCAAGAATTTATCTTTCCTTACTTTGATGGATCCACTAACAGTACAACATCCTTTACTGTTACTACTTTTATTGTCTCTGTTGGTGATGACTCTAATACTTATAATAGAGTTGCTGTTGAGCCACCAACTGATGTTGTCTCTCATGATCCTCATTTGAAAGATATACATCATAATAATCCATTAGAAGATATTCGGTCAGATACTTCTCCACCTTTATCTCCTCAGCCCCTGCGCAGGTCCTCAAGGACCAGAAAGCCTCCAAGCAAATCTCCATATTATGCTTGCACTTATGCAGACTCTTTTGCTTCAGTTTCCAATGTGGTTGATACACCTTCATCCTATACTCAAGCCAAAGTTAATGCTCATTGGATTCATGCTATGAACGATGAGTTAGAGGCTTTGGAGAAGAATCACACTTGGACTCACCTCGCTTCCATCAAATAAAACAACTATTGGTTGTAAATGGATGTTTCAAACAAAACTTAACTCCGATGGAACTGTTAATCGCTTTTAAGCTCGTCTAGTTGCCAAGGGGTATCATCAAGTCTATGGGGTTGATTACAGTGAGTCTTTTGCCCCCGTTGCTAAACATGTTACCGCTCGGTTGCTTGTTGTTGTGGCTGCTTCATCTAATTGGACACTTGCCCAATTAGATATCAATAATGCATTTTTGCATGGGTCTCTTGAAGAGGAATTATATATGCTTCCACCACCCGGATATCTCAAGGCTTCTCCCGGCTTGGTATGTAAGATAAATCGATCTCTTTATGGCCTCAAGCAGGCTCCCCGTTAATGGAATCGTGCTTTAATTGCTTTTCTCTTGCAGTCTAGTTTCATTCAATCATCTCACGATTCATGTGTTTTTACGTTGCATGCTACTGCCTTTTGTCTGTTACTTGTGGTTTATGTGGATGATATCTTAGTCACCGGGTCTGATCCTATTGAAATTGATAAATTAAAGTCTTCCTTGGACAAAGAATTCACAATTAAAGATTTGGGTGATGCTTCTTATTTCCTTGGCTTAGAATTGTCCAGGTAATCTGATGGCATCCGAATTATGCAACATAAATATATTCAGGACATATTGGATGATATTGAGGACACTTTGCCTTCTCGAGTATCTACGCTTCTGCTGCCTCACACCATGCTTACCGGTTCAGGTCCTCCGTATAATTCCCTTCTTAGCTTTCGAAGGTTAATTGGACGGCTTCTTTACCTTGGCTTTTCTCGACCGGATATCTGTTTTGCTGTACAACAACTCAGTCAAATATGCACGCCCCCACTACAGATAACTGGGTCGCAGCTTTACATGTTGTTTCATACCTGGCTTATCATTCTTCTTCTGGACTATATTTTCTGGCTGGCTGTTCTCCTACTTTTTTCGCCTTTTGTGATGCAGATTGGGCGAATTGCCCAGACACCAGACGATCCGTTACTGGTTTCTGCATATTCTTTGGTTCTTCCCCTATTTCGTGGAAAACTAAGAAGCAAGGTATTGTTTCCAAATCATCGGCTGAAGCCGAATATCGTAGCTTATCTGTCACCATCTCTGAATTGCTCTAGATTTCTTATCTTCTTTGGGATCTCAAGATTGTTGTCTCTCAACTTGTGGCTCTTTACTGTGACAACACTATTGCTCTTCATATCACGCGGAACCCCGTTTTCCATGAACAAACTAAACACTTGGAAGTGAACTGTCATTTGGTGCGCCATCATTACTCTACTAGTTTTGTTCTCCCTCAACATGTCACCTCTCGTCATCAGCTCATGGACATGTTCACCAAGAATTTGCCTCCAAAAAATTTTCATCTTCACTTTGCTAAGTTGAACCTTTCCTCCTCTGGCTCAACTTGCGGGAGTATTAAATTGTAACTCTAGTAATCGCACTTTCAGTAATTAGCGTTTTTCCTTTAGTAAAACAGCATGCTGCTCTCTTCTTTAGTTTTAGTTTAAATATCTCTATATAATAATTCTCATATATGTAACTAAGAAACAATTTTGAACAAATACAGTTTCAATTTTCTCTCCTGCTCTGCCCTGCTTCTGGTTCTTTGTTTATCTTCAACTAGGGATATCAACGGGGCGGGTTCGGGACGGGTTCTGCAGGCCCCGAGACCCGCCCCGCTAGAAAATATTAGGCCCTGAGACCCGCCCCGCCCCGCTTCCACTCAGCCCCAGGACCCGCCCCGCCTCGAACCCTCCGGATTCGGGGCCAATCCGGCAAACCCGTTTTTTAAAAAAATATATAATAATAAATATTTTTTTAACAATCGAATACTAAAACAAATAACATTAAAAGTACCAAAAAAAAAAATCTAAAAACAATCAAATATTGATCCATAAAAATAAGATAAAAGTATATAAACACAATGCAAATATAAGAATTTAAAATATCAAATAGTCAATTCTAACATTCTTCAACATCAAAGTCTTCATCTTCATATAGTATTGCAGGAGGACAACTTTTTGATCTAACGGTCGATCCCCTGATACCTAATTTAAAAATATATAACATATTATTATATTGGCGTTGGCGGCCGGTGGTGGTCGGCAGAACACAAGTAGATGAAGACGGCAGCAGTTGCGGTTGAACAAGCGGAAAAAGAAATTAGGGATTTAGAGTTGGGGCAGACAATTAATTGAATTTTATGTTTAAAATTATTTAAATAAATAAATAATATATTTTTATTATATAAATATACATATATTAGGTATAATAATTTTAAAAAATTACTTGGGCAGACGACTAATTGAATTTTATGATTAAAATTATTTAAATAAATAAATAATATATTTTTATTATATAATATACATATATATTAGTTATAATAATTTTAAAAAATATCTGAATTCGGGTTCGGATCCGGGTTGGGACGGGTTTTCAGTAAAACCCGTAACTCGCCCCGAACCCGGCCGGGTTTAAATTTTCAAATCCACAACCTGCCCCGAAATATATTATTTAGACCCGAACTCGCCCCATTAAGAACGGGTCCGGGGCTAAACCGCCCCATTTGACATCCCTATCTTCAGCAGTACTGAGGCTTACAGAATCCGTTTCGAACCTGAACAGTTGACATCCCAGCAGTGGCCGACTGCTCTCCAACATTGCATCACTACCTGGACAGCCACCAAACCTAGGAGGAGATCGATATAGCATTAATTGATTAATTAATTACTTCATTACCACCTACCTTTAGGTTAATTAAGTATAAGTACCAAGCAATCCAAATGTGATGTAATTGTGAATATGAATGTAAATTTGATGATAAATACTATGCTACTAGGTAGTAGTACTTCATATGATATGATATCATATGTTAGAAAAGGAATTAGATTGAGGTGTGGAATCGAGTTCATCAATTCAACCTAGCTACACAATTCATTAATAAATTTGTAAGGAGGATAGAAGACATACATACATATATATACAGTCAGAGGCATGTATTGTAACTAATTAATTAATGCAGTATTATATTGTATTGCAATATTCCAACGTAAAATAATGCAATGTAGTCGGGACACCCCATATATTAAATTTTACTAGTATTTACATCAAGAATTAATACATACATATATATATATATAGTCTGTCCGTTGTCTACACAGGCACAGGCACAGGCACAGCACACAGCACACCACAATGCACAGCTCAGCTCAGCGACCAACCACCAATCACAAATTACTATTACTATTACTATTACAATTACAAGAATTGTTGAGATGAGTTAAGACTAAGACGATTGGTGGAAGGCGTAGGGGGAGAAGGCCTCCGCCGTAATCCTCTGGAATGCAGCAGCAGCTTTCTTACCACCCAAGTATTCATCATCTTCTTCATCTAGATATTTCTGCCTCTGCGAATAATAGCTATCATTGCCGCCGATAGTTTCAGTATTATTGTTAATCCATGATCCTCCTCCTCCTCCTACTAAGTATGGATGTTGGTTGTAGTGAGCAGCTGGTTGATCATCCAGTTCCAGTCCCACCATAAACTCCGGTGAATAATAATTTCCCAATTTCCCTGCCGACCTTACATTTTCATTCCCACCTCCAGAGGGGAAGAGGAGATTATTGTTGTTGTTGTTGCTTCTTTGCAGCAGCTCATCTGTGCTCATTATGGTTTCAAAAGGGCTGCCAGTTATGGGATTATTATGATTACTATTATTCAAGTGATGATGATGAGGAGCAGTAAGCATTTGTGAGGAGTTAGAGTTAGAAGTGGCATTGTAAATGTTGAGTTGGTTGAAGGAGAGGAGCCCAGAGAGGTGGTATGAATTTGATGTCGGCGTCACGGAGAAGTCATTTTCCAGGAGAAGTTTTGGCAACTCATTCTCATGTTGATGTTGATGCTGATGCTGATCATTATTGATATTAATGTTATCGACAATAATCATTGAAGAGGCTGATGCTGATGGTGATGCAGTTTTTGGTTCGTCGAGAGGGAGAGGCTTGTGAGTGTTGGGATCGATCCCTTTCTGCCTCAGCTTCTTCTTGATCGACGAATTCCACAGGTTCTTTATCTCATTGTCTGTTCTTCCGGGGAGCTGCGCTGCAATCTGCGACCATCTGCAAATACAATAATTATGAATTTATAATGGATAGATAGATAGATCGATAAGATATGTAATGTTATGTACCTGTTTCCAAGAAGTGAGTGGAGCTCGATGATCAAAGTCTCCTCCTCCGCTGAAAAGGTTCCTCTTTTCAAATCAGGCCTCAGATAATTGATCCACCTCAACCTGCAGCTCTTTCCGCACCTCTCAAGCCCTTCATTTCTCATAACATTAAAACCCCATCATCATCATCATCAATTCCTTTATAACACTAAGATCAATTTAATTTGAAGACTGATTGAAAGAGAGAGACAAGTGGATCTATCTATCTCTATCCATGTATGTATGTGTGTATGTAAATGTACCTGCTAGCTTGGGGACGGAGCTCCAGCAGCCATGGCCGTAGCTGGTTATATGATTGATAAGCTTTTCATCTTCCTCAGGCGACCAAAGCCCCTTTCTCAGCTTCTGCTTGTAGCAGCACGAGTGCCTCCCCATTAATTTACTTCAAATATTTATTGACCCCTCCCCTCCCAACCCACAATCCGATCCTGCCTCGATCGATCGAGCTAGGCAATGCTAGCTAGCTCCCAATCGATCAAATTAAATTCCAAGGATAGCAGCAGCAGCAATAGGGAGGGAGAAGGCAGTAAGCTAAGCTGGGAACCAAGAAAATGGGGAGGACAAGTAATTTATAGAGAGGACGTCGCATTCACCAAGATCATCATACATAGATATACATATAGATATAGATACATATATATGTTCTGGTAATTTCACTTCATGGTTGATTCTTTCTTACATAATCATAATAATTTTGGGACATCCATCGGTTCTTGGAAACTCCAAGGATCACAAAGACCACACGTTTACTCAGCAAACGGGTGATATAGATTCGCTGGGGACCAGAGGTCCCGGTTCTGTCAAGAATCACTCCAGTAAAAATTTCAGACAATGAGTTTGATTGAGAGAAGCTGTGGGGCAGCATGAACAAAGATATTTATTAGTATCTATTTAGAGCAAAGTAAATCCAGATTTTATTTATTTAATTTCCCATGGTACGAATTAATTTCTGCATCATTAAAGAATTGATGAATTAAGCAAGTCCACAAATTACAAATATATATTTTTTGAACAGGGTTTTTGCTGTTTGATTTAATTTCCCTACTTGACTTTAATTATGTAGGATCAAGTGTCTTAAGTTTTATTGTTCCTAATGAGTTTGTGTTGGACTTGAAGAAATCTTCTATAGTAGACTAACAGCCTCTCACAATTCGTTAAAAGGGCTTTTTTTTTTTTTTTTTCCCTGATGATAATACTAATAATTTCCTATAATTAGGGTTTTAATTCTGGCAATATACATATATATGTATATGTGTATTTGTATGAATCATGACAATTTTGTAGCTAAAGTGGAGCAATTTGATAATGAACTTAATTATTTATAAAAGAATATCAAATAATGAAGAGTAATTAATTTAAGCAATATTATTGAAATTTTAAATGATAAGCAAGTAAGCAAGATGGAATACTTCTGATGGATATTCTCCGGGAACTAGACCCTTAATTTAGGCAATATCAGTTTTGGACGCAATAAATAAAAGACAATGTATTTTGTGATGTTATTGAAGCACATGAGGGGTATTATGTAATTTAAATCTAAAATAATTAAATCCAATTTAAAACTCAATAATTAAAATATTTCTAACAGTATATAAATTTGTATTGTATTAAAATAAAATGATGTAGAAGAATTCAACTTATCTCTTCTTGTTCTCGATAAAAATATTGAGTATTCTACATTGGACTAGACAATGGAACTCTCATAGCTTATAAGGTCATCTTCAACCGATTCTCTATTTTTTAAAAAATTTCTTCAAAATTTTCTATAAATTTTAACTACACTCCAATCCACTGTATATTTTACTCTAAAAAGAATATTTCACATATATATTTTATTAAAAATTTAATTTCAATAAATTCAAATTATTTTATTGAGATGATTTTTAAAATAATAATAATAATATATTATTTAATTATTTTTTACATTTATGTAAAAAATAATGATTTAAAAATAAATAAAATGAGAAATTAAGGTAAAATCATATATATATATTAAGAAAATAACTGCCGAAAATAAAAATATAATTAAATTAAAATTCAAAATTAAATTGCAATAATAACAAACATCAAATAATAATAATAATCATATCCAAAACTCAAAACTAAAAAATGACACCAAATAATAATAACATAAATTAATTAATTAAAAAAACCAAATATATGTAAAACAAAAAAATAATCCCAACTTCTAGGACCAAAATCCAAATAAAAAAATATCTTTTAAAAAAATGGAAGCTTACTAAAATGGAGGAACACTGCAGATTACTCTAAGGGTGTGTTCGTTTGATGGATTTGGATTAAATTCCACTATTCATCCAAAATTTTCTCCTAAAAACATCAAATCAAATATCTATTTTTTATTTTTTATATTATACTAAAAATCAATTTTACATTCAAAACATCACATCATCACCTATTTATATCACATCATACAACTATTCAAATTCAAAATTTTTACTATTCAAATCCCAACTCAAAATTCAAACCCCCAAACAAACACACCCTAAATTTATTAGAGGTTGGAATCTCCGGTTGGAGAATTTTTGCTCCAAAATGGAGTAATTCTCCAAATCTAGCGCCAGTTGGAGTTGCTCTGATGGATGAAGAACTAATTTAATAATACTTTCTCCGTCCCATAATTATATATTTATTTACTTTTTGCACAAAGTTTTAGAAATATTAGTATTATATTGGGATTTAGTAGGAATAAAATAAAAATGACTAAAGTAATCTTATTAGTACTGTGTGATATAAAGGTAAAGGACATTTGTGTAATATATTGTAAGTTGTAAAGATATTTGTAATGTTAGGTAGATAGTACAGTTACTTAAAAAAAAATGAAATAAATAGTTTGTTGCGAGACTTACTAAAATAAAAAAAATTGATAGTTTGTTATGAGACGGAAGGAGTAATAAAAAAAAACAAATTTGAAGCATTTGTAATGCTAATCCACACGGAACACCTAATACGAAAGAGAAAAACATGACATAAATTACGTCTATACAATATTATAATGGAAGAAGAAACTAGTATTACTCAGTGTGCGTATTTTCGAATAGCGGCCGCAAGGTCTCACATCATTAAAAAAATAAAAAATAAGAAACTAGTATGATTAAATAAAAAATAATAAAATTAAATTATAATGTAGAATACATATATATACTAATTAACTCCATACGGGTTATATATTAAATTAAAGTCATCACAGATTACAGCTGTGAGAATATTTTTCAAGATCAATTAATTAATTGCTATTTTAATTTAAATTGTTTGTAATTCTACCAACTCTCCAAATCATTAATTTGATCCATTGGAAGGAATGTATTCAATGGTTGCAATAATAGAAATATTTAATTAAACTGAACGACGAAGATGAAGGTGATGACCAAGTTTCCTTAATTTGTTATTCATTATTGATTCTCCACAGATACTAATTAATTCAGCACAATTATGCATGCATGATTTGTTTGAATTGTACAAAATATATTTTTGTCCATGTAATTTTATTATAATTTTAATTTAAAAAAATATAATGACTACATTTTGTTTTTTACGGAAATAATTATATTGTTATAATGAAATTACTGAAACACAATCAAATATAATCATGATTAACATTGCCATTAGTTGAATCCTATTTTTAATATCATTTAAATCACATTGAATAGTTATTTATAAGTGTTATCAGAGATCGAACTATACGAGGGTTACCGGGCACTCAGCCCTCAAAATGTGTTTTATTTATTTACTTTTAAAAAATAATAAATTTATGTATTTTTAATAATTTTTTCCTCTTAAATTTTTAATTTTAATTTTATTTTTGCATAAAAATAACAAAAGATATGTAGCTCATTTAATTTACCTTTTAGTGTTTATTTTTTTTAGTAAAGAACAATGGGCTTTGTTCACCTAAGATGAAATGATTTTTGGGTGTGGTACCAGAAATTATTTCAAAATATACGAAATATTATTTTAGGTTGAATATTTAATTTTTTCTCATGATTTTTTTGACTTTTTATAATAAGTATTTAATTTTTTATTTTTTATTATTACTTTTTGACTTTTATATAAAATATTTTGTATTTATTATTATTATTTCTGAGAATCACAATTGAAAAATGATCGTGAAAGAGCAGTGCCATAAAAATTTATATAGTTATGTTAATCTTTTCAACTCCAAACATATTATTCTTGTCCGGTTTTCTTTTATCCTTTATTTTTTCGTTTTCTATTTTATACCCTTTCACCTTTAAAAAAAAAGAAGAAAACTACGACATTGAATTGATAAGAATAAACTCATATTTCCCCCTCCCCTGAAATTTAGGGGCTAATTCCGTGGTTGTCATACATAAAATCTAATGGAAACATATATCTATTTTTAATAAACTTATAATAAGATACATAAATTGAATTGTGCATATAATCTCTAAAGATTATTTAAAAATTAATTTTTATAAACGTTAAAATGGTACCAACATTAATGAAGGTCGGACATTGTTAAGAAAGGATCCGGGCATCCAACCTAAAATCAATTGGTGATAGGTGGAGTGGCCCTTCATCTTATATACTAGGGGAGATCCCACACATTTTCCAATGTGGGATATACTCGACACTCCCCAATCGGGATGATAATCTCGAAAATCCATTCAGGATCCAAACCCAATACGGGCACCATGGCTCTGATACCATGAAGAAGTTAGAACCCCCACTTCCAATCCGAAAAAAAATACAGAGTCCTCCCCGCGCCGCAGTTGCCCCAGCCGCCTTAAAAATACATGGTTGTCCTAAATTAACTTCCCAATCAACAACTCAATCAACTTCTAATTAAAAGCCCTGATAGAATGGATAAACCACACACAATTTAAGGGAAGGATCCTAATTTTATCTAACAATAATACACACATGTGACAATACCCTCCCTCAAGGTGGAGCGTGAATGTCACAAACGCCCAACTTGGACAGGAAAAGACCGAAGGACAAACCACCAAGGGCCTTGGTGAACAGATCAGCCAGCTGAGCTGCAGAACGAACAAAACTAGTAGAGATTACACCTTTCTGTAGCTCATCACGGATGAAGTGGCAGTCAATTTCAATGTGTTTCGTGCGTTCGTGAAACACGGGGTTGGCAGCTATGTGAAGTGCAGATTGGCTGTCGCAATAAAGTTGCATAGGAGAAGGATGAGTGACACCCAAACTGCGAAGCAAAACATGCAACCACTTCAACTCACATACAGTCATGGCCATAGCACGGTACTCGGCCTCCGCAGAGGAGCGAGACACAACCTATTGTTTCTTAGTTTTCCAAGAAACGGGAGAGGAGCCTAGCATCACAAAATATCCTGTAAGAGAACGACGAGTGACCGGGCAGCTGGCCCAATCGGAATCGCAATAAGCCCGTAGACATAAGTCACAATCAGCGCGTAACAAAATTCCTTGGCCTGGGTGACCTTTGAGATACCGAACAACCCTCAAAGCGGCATCCCAATGTACTGTAAGAGGTGCGTGCATAAACTGAGCGAGAATGT